GGCCTTCAGGACGGTGGGAGGTGATATGGGGCATAGAGAGAGCACGGTCACTAGGGCTGTTCCCAGTGTACAGCTTGTGGTGCTGGAGCAGGTGCGAACTGTCGCCGAAGGCCTTGCCACACTCCCTGCACATACAGGGCTTCTGGCCCGTTTAGATGTGCTGGTGCTGGCTGAGGTTTGACTGCGGGACAAAGGCCTTGTGGCCCTGCTACACTCCAGCCAGGCAAGGGGCTTCTCACCTGTGTGGACCCACTGGTGCTGGTCGAGGTCTGCACTGCCCTTGAAGGCTCTGCCACAGTGGAAGCACTCGCAAAGCTTCTCCCCTGTGTAGATCTTGTGACGCTCACTGAGTGTGGAACTCTGCCCAAAGGCCTGCCACACTCAATGCACTCACATGGCTTTTCACCACTGTGTGTCCTCTGATGGTGGATCAGGGCGAGCTCCACTTGAAGGCTTTCCCACAATCCCTACACCAGTAGGGCTTCTCCCCTGTGCAAATCCACCGGTGTTTCCACAGGTCTGAGCTCCCTGGGAAGGCTTTGCCATGCTACCTGCATTTGTACTGCTTCTCTCCAGTGTGGGTCCTCCGGTGCAGTGTGTGTGTAGAGCTCTGAATGAAGGCTTTTCCACATTCATGGCATTCGGAGAGTTTCTTCACTCCAGTATTGATCCTCTAGTGCTCAATGCGGTTAAACTGGGGAAAAAAACATTCCCACAGGCACTACACGGATATGGCTTTTCTCCAGGGTGAGTCCCCTAGTGCACAGAGAGGGCCAAATGCTGCCTGAAACTCTTTCTATACAAGCCACATCTGCAGGGCTTCCTGTCCACACAGGTTGCCTACAACACATCTGGCTCTGGAACCTGCTCAAAACTTTCTCCATGTGTAACTAACATGTGTGGTTTCTTCTCCACAGCAACATTCTTTGGTTTGACAGGGCTTGAAGGTATCCTGACACTCCTCAGCTTCACTGCCTTTATAACCTCTCCCCACAGTAGGATTCTCCATGCTGGGAACTGACTATTGCTTAAATTAAAATCTTTTTCCCAGAAAAGCAAATGTTGCTCTATGTATCTCAGTAGGATATCTGTTCTGGTTTCCTGAGTAGGTCTCAGGAGCATCAAAGTTTGTGAAGGCAGAACCTCATGAGATCTCTTTTCTGATGACCTCCATTATGAATTGCAGCAGGTCCTTGAATATGTGCCGTGGTCACCTTCCTTTATCTGAAAGAAACCAAGATCACAAATGTTAATTTTGTTGACTTTTCTGAAACTGAAAGAAATCAAAAAGATTGATGATGTGGATGGAATTACTGTCTCATTTCTTCACCCCTCCTTGTGTACATACCTTTGGCCACATTTGTGGTTCCTCTCACTAAAGACAGCATAGATCCCCTTTCCTTGACTTTGGGTGTGACCATGTGACTTGTTTGGCCAATGGGATGTGAGTGGAATTGCTAGTATGTTAGTCTTGAGCCTGGGCCTCAAGCCTGCTGACATCCCTGCCATCACCATTAGCCCTACAAGACAAGTGTGGCAAAGATGGACCCAATCGACAGCCTGGAGCCAAGCCCATGCCAGAATAGCCAATCCTTAGACTCATGAGAGGAATCAATGCTTAATGCTATCAGTCACTGAACTGTTGGAACTATTCATTAAAGACGAATAACTGATTGATACAACTGCCAAGTTAGGACAAACACTCCCTAGATGAGGTTGAAATCTGGGGAGAGGATGAGAAGGAGACAGACAGAGAGGAAGAGAGGAGAGTCTATTCAGGAAAGCCCAGAGGCCTAGAACACTGGTTGAAGAATCAGAGAATAAGCACAAACAGTGTCTCCCAAGGTCTGGGGTGTGGCATGGAAGGGCCACGGTGTGTATGGAAGGTAAATGAGAATCCAGTTGTCTGTCTGTCTGCCAGTCATTCATTCATTCGTTCTTCAGCAAACTTTTCACGTGCTGTGCTAAGAAAAGAATACCTTGGCCTCCCACCATAGAAAGGGCAGGACTCCCCCAGCTCTAACAGCACAGACTCACAATCTGGACAGAGAAGAAGGCCCTGAAAGAAGCTTCCATGGAGTTTCCAGGTTATCCCACTCTTACTGTCAGTCCAGGCTCGTTCCTCCCTGGCACCTGGGTCTCTTCCAGCTGCTTCCCTCTCTCTCCTCTCCTCAGGAGCCTCCTAGAAAGTATCCCCACACTCATACCCATGCCCCTTCACCCCATTATGGACTTAACTATGTCCCCCTGAAATTCCTACGTTAATATCCTAACCTAAGCCGCAGAATGTGACTGTTTATAGGACCTTTAAAGAGGTAATTAACATTAAAGTTATATGGGTGGGCCCTGTTCCAGAATGACTGGGAGAAAGAGACCAGGGGCATGCGAATGAGGAAAGGCCATGTAAGGACACAGCAAGAAGGTGGCTGTCTACAAACCAAGGAGAGAAGCCTCAGGAGAAACCAACCCTGCCAACAACACTTTGCTCTTGGACTTCCAGCTTCCAGAAGCATGAGAAAATGAATGTCTTTTGTCTAAGCCAACCAGCCTGCGGTATTTTGTGATGGCAGCTGTAGCAAATGAATATACTTTCAGGCTACCGAAGGCAGCCTTGCTCTGCCCTTGGATGCTGCACTTCAACCCATAACCCTGTCCACCCCATCTTCAAAACAGATCTCTATCTGACCACTTATCAACACTTCTACCTCCACCATCCTGATCTGACCTACTCTGCTGACCAGGACTTCAGCAGCATCCACCTTCCAGGTCTCCCTGCCTCTACTCTCACCCCAACAGTCTTCCCTGTAACCACCAGAGGAGTCCTAAAGAGCTAGTCATAGGACAGTCTCTGCCCAAAGGCTTCCCATGGCTTCCACCTCTCAGGGTAGACATGGAAGTCCAATCATGGCCCATAAGCCCTGCAAGACCTGCTCCCTACAAACCTCACCATGCTGACTCTATTTCCCATCTCCTTCCCTCAATCCATTCCAGCTGGGTGTCCTTGTCTGTGCCCACTTTGGGGCCTTGGCATTTGTATTCCATCCAACAGGAAAATTCTCTGAGTCCTTCCCTTTATTCGGGCCTCAACTGAGATACCAACTCCTTGAGATACCAACAGTTCTCGTTTCTTTGATTACCATCTGCCTCCTTAAAATAACATCAGCTCCATGGAGGCAGGCCATGCCTCTCTCCTCTTCATTGCAATATCCCATCTGGAATGGCAAAGGCCCTTACTGGCTTCTCAGTATGCATCTGCAGAAGAAAGACACAATGTGCTCATTCTGCCATGCAAAGGTCTGATGAGCTGAAGGGGACATAGTCACAGGCTGGGGTCAATTAAGTATGGGCTAGGCCAACCTCAAAACCTCCCCTGCACACAGGCTGGGTCACCACCCTCCCTATTCTGGGCCCCCAGCTGGAGTCTCTTGCTTAAATTCTCTCACACACCCACATTGCACACACAGAGGACACACGTTCTCACATACAATCACATGTCCAGGCATCTATAGTATCACACAATCACATCCATGATCATAGTCACAGTCACTGCAGCAACACACAGTGTATTCATACACAACCCGGGGGTCTTTGTGCTGTATCAGGCCCTCCTGGGCACGCCATGTCTTTGTCTCACAGACACCATCACGCAATGTGAAAAGCACAACGTGGCTACAGGATTATCACATATGGTGACTAAAACAGAGGTCACACACATCCACACACCCCTACACAGAGTTACACACAGAAATACCCACAAGTGTGGTCATAGAGAATGACACACGCAGCCCAACCTCTAGAGCACCAGCAGTCACACAGGATACACACGTAGAACTTAACCTGTATATGGTCACAGTAAGCAACATACACTACACACGATACACACCTCACACAGAGACACCCGCTCCCCTTACCCCACACACGATGCACGGTTCCGCCTCCCCCTCAGCCCCCCGCCCGCCCCTTCACTCACTGTCACCACAACCCCACAAAGGCCCAGCTTTCTACCGATTGCCTGCCGAGACTACAACTCCCGTCGTGCCCCAGGGTGAGCTGGCGGGGGAAAGGGGGAAGAGGGCGCGGGACTTTAGAGGGACTGTGGTGTGGGAGGGCGGCGCGCGGGCGGTGGAGCCTAACACGCAGCACAAGCTCAAACTTGCGGTCCGCAGGCAGGAACGTCGGCTGGGCAGCGCGACGCATTCTGGGAGTTGTGGTCCCGGCGACCCGGCGCGCAGGCGGCCCCGGGCCTGTGGCGCCTCAGAGCGCGCTCCCGGAAGTGGCGGCAGCCGCGCGTGTGAGGTGGGCCTGGGTGGGGTCCGTGGGGGTCGCGGCCAGAGAGGAACGTCCCAGGCCCCGAAGCCGCCAATGCGGGCGGTGAACTGAGCCGGGCCTGGCGACACTGACCCGCCGACGGAACTGAGGTGCTGACCGCGCGCGGAGCGCCTGGAGGACTGACTGACTGGCAGTGAGCGCAACCGACGCGCAGACCTAGTGTAGAACTAACTGGTTGCACGTGGGACCGACTGGCCGGCTGTGTGTGTGCCTAAGAGGTTGTGCTTCTGCGTCGGCCGCGTGCGAGTGTGCGCTTCCGACAGACAGCGCGGCAGTGGGTGACCTTCGGACGTGGGGTCCGACTGACGACGACGCGCGTCGGAGCTTTCGCGCGGGGTGCCGTGCGACGTTGTGAGGAGAGCGCGGGGGTGCGGGCGGCCTTGTGACTTCAGGCGGGACCCAGAGCGCCTACCATCTGACTGGCTGAGACGGGGGCTCGGGGGCTCTGAGTGTCTGTGGGGGAATTCCGCTGTGAGCGACACAGAAATGTACCCCTGGGTGGCTGACACTGTGCCTGAGGCAGGGTGTGCGCCTCTCACTGTGTGATTGACTAAGATTTTGTCGGAGTACTGAGATCATGGTGATTTGCAGAGTTTGTCAAGGATGTGACCGACGGAGAGTTTTGCTTCCCCGTGTCTGCAGCCGGAATTGATCGCCGTCCCCAGCTGGCTTTGTGGATATGCCTGAGTCTGGCAAGAGGCTGTGGAGTGTCAGGTTGGTTGTTCATTCACCCCGTGTCTGCTGTGTGCCAGGCTGGTACTGGACGCTTGTCACGGATCGCCTTGGGTAACCTCACAGCAGCCCTCTGAGGTAGGTGCCACTTATCAGGTCGGGGACTTGCAAGGACAGAGAAATGAAAGAACCCTTCTCCTCATTTGGTTGAACACTCATGGAACCGGGACCTTGACCTGAATGTGAGGTCAGCACATTGAGGGATGGACGGGCTGAGGCAGGTTCATGTACATGTGTCTCAGAGGCTACCGTCAGGGAGTTTCCAGAACAAGAGGTCCAGCGGTGCAAAAGGGAGCTTGGAATCTTGCTGCTTTTATTGTCATCCCTGCCATACCTGCTTCCCCTCCCCTGTACAGTGATTCCCCACATCCGTGGCTGACCATGCTCGGCCTTTCCCGGTCCCTCCATTTGCTCGGCACCTGTTTAATTAATGCATTTGGCATAGGCCGTGCTCTCCGCACTCTGGGGCAACATATGGTTCTAGCCAGAGCTGGGAAGAGAGAGACCCAGGGCACTCAGAAGGGTACTCAGCTTGCTCCCAAGTGCTCAGACAACTCTTGGAGAAGATGGCAGGTAAAGTGCAGTCTGGAGGACCAGGAGAAATTAGGTGCAGAGAGAGATTTTAGAACAAGAGGGGCAAAAGCTGAGAAGATGGCGACTGGAGGTAACAGCAAGGGCAAGGGGACAAGAAGCCCATGTGAGCTTCAGGGTGGAGTTAGGGGCTAGAATACAGTTTTGTTAGAAGTTGCCACCTGCCACTGAGAAGGGTCTTGTTTTACTAACATTTGCTTCTCCCTGTGTCCAAGACCACCGCTCTTGTGCCAACCAACATTTGTTATCTGTCTTTTATATTTTAGCCATCTTAGCAAGTGTAAACTGCTATCTCATTGTGGGTTTGATTTGCCTTTCTCTGGTAACCATGATGTCGAGCATCTTTTCATGTTGTCTATAGGCCATTTGTATATCTTCTTTGAAGAAATGTCTAGTCAGAATCTTTGCCCATTCTCTAGCTGGATTATTTGTCTTTTTACTATGGAGTTGTTTAGATATGCATTCCTATCAGATTCATAATTTGAAAATGTTTCCTGCCATTTTGTGGGTGCCTTTTTGCTTTCTTTATGATGTCCTTCAAATCATGAAAGGTTTTAATTTTCATGAAGTTGTTTGTCTACTTTATTTTTTATCACTTATCCAGGAAGGCTTTGCATTTTTAAAATTCAAGTATAGTTAATATACATTACATTTGTTTCAGCTGTACAACCTAGTGACTCAACATTTATATACAGCATAAAATGATCACCATAATAATTCTAGTTACCATCTCTTACCATACAAAGTTAATACAATATTATTATTTGTTTTCCAAGTACTTCACATTACATCCCCATGACCTATTTATTTTATGACTAGAACTTTGTACCTCTTAAACCCTTTCACCCATTTCACCCAGCCTCAAACCCCCTTCTCCTCTGGCAATTATAAGTCTGTATCTGTGAATCTAGTTTTGTTTTGTATGTCCATTTTTTTAGATTCCACATATAGCTAAAATCATATGGTCATATCATATCTTTCTCTATATGATTTATTTCACTTGGCATAATGCCCTCAAGGTCCATCCATGTTGTCATAAATGGCAAGATTTTGTTCTTTATTACGGCTGACTAATCTACTGTATATATGGGTACCACATTTTCGTTATCCATTCATCTGTTGATGGACAGCTAGGTTGCTTCCATATCTTGGCTATTGTAAATAAGCTGCAGTGAATATATATCTTTTCGAGTTAGTGCTTTCATTTTCATTTTAGTTTTTCATTTGGATAAATGACTAGAAGTGGAATTGCTGGATTGTATGATAGTACTTTTTTAATTTTTTGCATTATTTTTAATTTTATGTGGAATACTGACCAAAATTAACCATATGCTGGGTTGCAAACCAAGTTTCAGCAAATTTCAAAGGATTCAAATTGACTAAAGCACATTTTCTGAGCACAACAGACTTAATCTAGAAATCAATAATAAAAAGACAACTAGATAACTCCAGTTGTTTGGAAATAGAATAGCAGATTTCTAAATAGCCCATGAGTCAAGAAGAAACCACAACCGAAATTAGAAAATATTTTGAACTCATTAAATGATAATGAAGATGCAACATTAAACTTATGGGTGTGCAGCTAAAGCTGTGTTTAGAGGAAAATTTATAGCCTTAAGTAAATGTGTTAGAAAAGAGGGGGGCACCTGGGTGGCTCAGTTGGTTAAGTGTCTGACTCTTGATTTTGGCTCAGGTCATGATCTCATGGTTGTGGGATCAAGCCCAGCATCAAACCCTGTGCTGAGTGTGGAGCCTGCTTGGGATTCTTTCTCTCCCTCTCTCTCTGCCCCTCTGGTTCTCTCTCTCTTTCTCTCTCTCAAAATTAAATAAATAAACATTTAAAAAAAAAAAAAAAGAGGAGAGGAAGGAAGGCTGAAAGTAATTTTAGTATCCACCTCAGAAGCCCCAAGGGAAAAGTGAGGGAATGACCACGTGGCTAACTAGGGAGTGTGTGAGATAGGGAGACCTGGTTCAGTGTGGGAGGAGCACACCGTTAGCAGACTGGCCATGGGGGTCAGGCTGCCTGGGTTTGTAGCTCAGCAACTCCTAACCCATTCAGTATCTGGGAGGCTTTCTTTTCCTCCTCTATATCTGTTTTCATATCCATAAAATGGAAAGGAAGTTCCCACCTCCTGAGTTTGTTTAGAATTTTAAATGAGTTACTATATGCAAAGTTTTAGAATGGTGCTTAGGTACCTGATTATTTTGAGCATCTGTGTCTCTGTGAGAAAGTCGCTTTTACAGCCCCAAGCCTGCATCTGCCCTGCTCTACAGATGTGAGCAGAGCCCCAAATTCCACATAATGACAAAGCTATGACATTCCTGCAGACCCACTTCCAACGCTCCAGCCATCCCATGCCTCAGTGGAGTGCTGCTGCTTGATGGCCATCCCCAAGAGCCCTCTCAGCCCCGTGCCCTGGGAACAGGATGGCTCCCTACACGTGAAGGTGGAGGATGAGGAGGCCAGCTTCTTTGAGGTCCAGGAATCTAGCCCTAGCCACACTGCCCACCCTGAAGCCGCACGTCTTCGCTTCCGGCACTTCTGCTTCGAGGAGGCATCCAACCCATATGAGGCCCTGGCCCAGCTCCGTGAACTGTGCCACCAGTGGCTGCAGCCTGAAGCACATTCCAAGGAGCAGATTCTGGAGCTGCTGGTGCTGGAGCAGTTCCTGGATGCATTGCCCCCCAAGATCCAGTCCTGGGTGGGTGCCCAGTTCCCCAAGAATGGTGAGGAGGCTGCCATGCTGGTAGAAGGTCTGAGTCGATCACTGGACCAGAGAGGTAAGAAGGAGCAACAGGAATTTGTTCACAGCATACTGTGGGCAGAGCCTGGACCAGAATGTGCGAGTGCAGGGTTTGGGTTTCGGGTCGTTCACACACACACTTGTTGTCACCTTTGTACGTCACCCAAACTCTCACACACTGTACTAAGCAGACCTGTTTTGATTGCTAATGACCAAAAACCCACCTCAAACTGACTGAAGCAAAGTAGGGAGCTCCTGGCTGTATCCAGGAGCTCAATGGATGGCATCAGGACGCTTTTTTTCTCATTCTGTTTCTCAGTTGGGTTTTCCTACATTAGCTTTACTCTTAAGTCGTTTCACTCCTCAATGGAGACATGGTTGGCGCAGTAACCTAAGCTTGTGTCTTACCAATGTAGAATCCCCAGGGGGAGAACAGTAAAAGGTTCCCGGGCTAAGCCACACTGAAGTGGTTGGGATCTTGTGCTTGACTTTGGCTAACCAGATCCCAGGGACTGACATGAATCAGGTAAGCCAAAGGAAACCTGGCTGCTGACACCAGATGAGGGGGCTGGAAAGCTGTAGGAGGGTTGGGGGTGACAAAAATGCCAGGTGTCTCCGCGTATCCCCTCTGAGTCCTCCCTCTGCTGGCCTCCAGGATCTGTGTGTTTCAGACCTGCCCTAGGCTAGAGTGGCCACCTTTACTCTGGAGGACCCACACAGATGTCCCTGCCCAGGGAGGTCTCAGGGGATGCAGTCCAGAGTAGGGAGTGAAGGCTCCTCACGGAGGGGCCCGGCCTGGCCTGCCCTGATGATAGCGGATAGTGTGTGTATGCCAGCCACTAGGGAGGAGGCATGCTGTGAGTAGGAAGAACAGAGATATCATGAAGCCTTGGTAGACCCAACCGCGGCTCCTCTTCCTGGCCATGTGAATTTCCTGTACCTCAGTTTCCCTGTCAATAAAATGGGGATTGCAGTTCATAACACCTACCTCGGTGTCATTGAGAGGTGTAAATGAAGCATCATCTGTGCACTACATGAAACAGTGCCTGGTACAAATTAAACACAGTGGAAACTAGCTGTTAGGATAATTCTCTTAGCTCCTTGAGAAACAGACCTTTCTGGAGAGGTTGGTCATGTGCCTTCCCTTGGCCCCATCAGCTCTGCCAGGCAGAAGTCACAGGGACAGGGACAGGGGGGAGCGGCTGCATCCTCCTGCGGGGTTGAGAAAGTCTTCAGAGAAGAGGCAGTATGGCACTGAGACAAGCAGAAGGACCTGGCAGTCCGGGCAGAGGGAATGGTAGGGGAAAAGCCCCAGTGGGATGACATGCACTGCTACGTTCTGGGAAGAGCAGTCGTGTGATGTTGCTGGATAGAGGAAGTGGAGGGATGTGGGACCAAGCATGTGGCTGAGGAGGCTGCGTAGCTAGGAGGACATCTATGGGCTTAGGGGACAAAATCTGAACTCTAAAAGCTCTTTTCTTTCTTCAGTGTTTTCAATTTTTATTGTTTTTGAGAGGGAGAGAGAAAGCACATGAGTAGGGAAGGGGCAGAGCGAGAGAAGAAGAGAGAGGATCTGAAGCTGGCTCTGCGTTGACACCAGAGAGTGTGAGGCGATGTGGGGCTTGAACTCACAAACTGTAAGATCATGACCTGGGCTGCAGCTGGACTCTTAACTGACTAGGCCAGCCAGGCACCCCAGAAATCTGAAATCTTTACCTGAAATTTCAACTTGACCACCAGCCAACTGTGTGATATTGTACCAGCTGGTTAATCAAGACTTTCCTTCAGCTGGGTCTCAGTGTCCTTGTCTGAAACGCAGGTGTTCCAGTATTTCCTTGTGAGAGCAGATTGAAGGTGGAATGAAACAACAGAAGTTACCCACTGTGCTTGGAGACTGGCACATCACAAGAGCCTAATAATGACCAGCAGCCCTGGCAGGCATAGTAGCCCTCTCTTATAGATCCAGACGAGGGCAGGATTGCCCACGGCCCTGGAGCTGGCTTGTGGCAGGGCTGGGCTCCACGGTGGACTTGAGCAGCAATTATTCTGCCTGCCCCCACCTCTTCCTGGAATCTGTCTGGTACATGATGCTATTAAGTGTTCCCAGGTGCTTTACACACCCATCAAGGGTCAGTTCAGTTCAGAGGTCCTTTCAGGCATGCTCCTACCTCATACGCAACCCAGTCCCCAACTGCCTTTCAGTCACACTCCGCCTTCACGGCAATTTATAAACACTGGGCATCAGGTCTCCCAAGGTCTTAGGAACACCAGGCAGGCCTGTCACCCACTCACCCTCAGCAGTGGTTGTCAGAGTAGATCCTACTGTGGAAAACTGCACAGTTGTCAGCATCTGGAATTGCTTCCCTCATTCAGCCAGTCTTTACTGAGCACCTGCAGAAAATGCTCAGTAGGCTTTCTAGGTCCAGGGCTAAGGCACTGAGAGCTGGGGCCTGCCAAGGGGGAGTGAGTATGCGGGCACTCGCAAGGGCAACCCCTGTGCGTGCTTACTTACTCTCACTCTTTCAGATCAGTTCAACCTTAGGGTTTTCCTTCTGACACTTGAGCCAAAATTAGCAGCCTTAAAGAATGGAGAGTTTGGGGACAGGGAGGACCAGAGCCTGTGATCCAGTTTTCGATGGTGTGGGAGCATAGCCCTATGCTCTTTGTCATCCAGGACACCAAATAGGAAACTTTACTTTGGAAATGCGGCCAGATGTCAGGAGTGGCCATTTCTCTCCTTACAGAGTAAGACCAGGACCCAGGCAGAATGGGGGAAGCCCTGTGTGGAATTAGTGGTGATGCTGTGCTTTGGGATGTTTCAGGAGAGAAACCAGGAGCTGAGCTCTCAGAGGCAAGATGCAAGCAGAGTGATTTGGAAGAGTCCGAGCCACTAGATGGGGCCACTGAAACCCTCGCAGGAGGTAGTTCGCTGGGACCTGCCTTTGGTGATGCTTGTGAACCTGAGAGCTACTCAGAGAGGCAGGCAGGACTCTCAGGGGAAATCTGGACAAAGTCTGTCCCTCAAGAGATGGATTTCAGGAAAACTTCAGAGCCTCACAAGGATGTTCCCACAGACCAGACCAGCTGTGAATCTGGTGCCTTGGGGAATAGTCCCAACATGTGGCCAAATTTCATCTCACAAGAGATGACACCAGAAGAGAAATTTGATCCATTGGATGGTTTTGGGACAGAGCCTCCATGCATATACTCAAGGAGGAAGTCTTCCAAGTGTGGTGAATGTGGGAAAACATTCCAGAGTCCCTCCACCCTCGAAGCACACCAGAAGAGCCATTTTCGGAAGACACCCTACACCTGTAGTGAGTGTGGGAAAGCCTTCAGCCGGAGCACTCACTTGGCCCAGCATCGAGTCATCCATACGGGGGCAAAGCCCCATGAGTGTAAAGAGTGCGGGAAGGCCTTCAGCCGGGTCACCCACCTGACTCAGCACCAGAGGATCCACACTGGAGAAAAACCCTACAAGTGCAGGGAATGTGGCAAAACCTTCAGCCGCAGCACCCATCTCACCCAGCACCAGCGGGTGCACACAGGGGAGCGGCCCTATGAGTGTGACGAGTGTGGCAAGGCCTTCAGCCAGAGCACCCACCTGACTCAGCACCAGCGCATCCACACTGGGGAGAAGCCCTACAAGTGTGACGCTTGTGGGAGAGCCTTCAGTGACTGCTCAGCTCTGATCCGCCACCTGAGAATCCACTCTGGAGAGAAGCCGTATCAGTGTAAGGTTTGTCCAAAGGCCTTTGCACAGAGCTCGTCCCTCACTGAACACCAGAGGATCCACACAGGAGAGAAGCCGTACAAGTGCAGGGACTGTGGGAAGGCCTTTAGCCGCAGCTCAGCCCTCATGGTTCACCTCAGAATCCACATCACAGTACTGCAGTAACCCAGGAAAGCCCTTGGGACACAGGATAGCCTCCCCTCAGAGTCTCAACATCTAAGAGAAATCCTGAGTTCCAAAAGAACAAAGAATGGGGTGGGTGATTGATAGTACCCCAAAATGATAAGGTGCTAAAGGGCAGACTCTGGGGCTACCTGGGAACAACTCTGCATTTGGAGACCCAGATGGAGGCGCCTAATGAACACAAAGTTACTCAAGCCAGCTGGAGAAGCTTCTAGGAGGATCCTGTTGCCCTCCCGTACCCCACTCAGGCCCATCTCAGGAAAAGGACAGCTGAGCTGAGGATTTGGATTTGTCTTCAGAGCCAGGGCAAGTGAAGTTTCTTTCGGGACTCTGTGGTCCCAAGATGCTCTGGGCAGGAAGACTCCAGCTTCATGTTCCCATGTAGCTGCCTTTCTTGCCTTTTCCTCTCCTGCTTAGCCCAGGAGGGATGCCGGCCCATGCCTACCTCCGTGCCTTCACACCTATTGTTTGACTCCACCTATTCGTATATTACTCCAAGGCTGCCTCTTCTGTGAGGCCTTCTCTAGGCCCTCTGTCTCTTTCACAATCTCCCTTAATTAAGGGTACAGGCTGATGTTTGCCCAGCATCCATTTCTCCCTGCCCTCTCCTTCCACATCCCATCAGTCATCAGCCCTGTTGGTTTTACTGAAAACTCACCTCTAATCATCTTTTCCACCCTCGTCACCTCTCATCTGGATTCCATGTGGGGTCTCTTGCCTTCATTCTCTCCCCCCTCTCCCACTGTTTCATTCTCCACACCAACCTCCAGGGAGCTCTTTCTACAACCCAAACCTGATTGTATCACTCCATGGTGGAAAGCTCTCCAGTGCACCTTCTATGGCAGACCTTCCTGAATGGGTTACAAGTATGCCAAGACATGAGTCGCTTTGAGCCCCGAACAAGCTCTCTGGGTACCCTCATATGTGCGCGTGAATATTGTCATTTTTGTGTGTGTGCAGTGGTGTGAAAATGGTTTCAGAGTCCTGCCCCGTGGGATAAATGGCAAAGTCCTTCACCTTCCGTTTATGATCACTTGTGACCTGGCCCCAGCCTCATCTCCTACCATAGTACCCCCACCTTCCACACACCAGCCATGTGGAACTACTTGTGGTTCCTGAAGAAGCCATATTTTCCCCAACTCTGTGCCTCTGTTGCTGTGCCTGGAAACCTCGTCTTTTTCCTCCCAGATGTTTCACATATCCCTCCCTAACAAAGCCTCCCGTACCTCCTTGAGCCGACTTCAACTTGCCTTCTCTGCTTCCAGAACACCTCCTTAACTTCTCTTTAACCTCCTGCCATGTTGTACCTACTCCTTGCAGAGCTCGCAGTCTGTTTCCCAAAGAGACTGAGAGATTTCAAGAGCACAGGCCGGGTCTTATTCTCAGTATCCATAGCACAGGACTTAGGTTCTAACCAGTGTCTGTTGAATGAATATACTGTGACCAGTGCCTTCCAGGAGGCAGTCATCATGCTTCACCCTGTGTCGACCTGATGTATGTCTACATCGCTGTCTCCCCACCATCCCTGGGCCCTGCAGGGCAAGAACAATTTGATTTTCTCAGAGTCCCACCACTCAGACAAGCCTGGCATACAGCGATCTCAATAAAATGTTACCATATTGACTCTGCCCTTTCTATCGCCCCGGAATCCACCTGGTGCCATAGATTCTGTGGTTGCCAGCATGCTGCTAGTGCACTCTTTGGCCTCTCACAGTTCTATACCCCTGACCCTCTTTCAGGGCCCATCTATAACTGGATGTCACAGCCTCCGTTCTTAACTGTCAGAGTGTCAGTCTTCCTTCCTCTCTTTCTCTGATGATCCTGTTGCATGTTAACCATTTGACCTGCCATACAGTTATGTACTGCTCATCTCTCCCTGTGTCTTGGACTTGTTCCCTCTGTGTCACAAGTAAACAGAGTCACAAAGACCAACCAAGGAGTGAGGTTCACAACAGGAAGGCTGAGACCCAGGGAAACAGAGATCTTGTGTCAGTATCTCTGAGAGTGCCAGATACACCTACACACAGGCACACTGCCCCACATAGTGAAGCCAAGGCTGAGAGCTGCAGAGAATGTTGACAGAGAAAAGCTCAGATGAGAAATACATGTTGCTGGTGAAACAATCACATGGGCCTCCAACAAGCCTGCAGGGAATGGAAAAGATGCAGGCCTAAGTCACGCTGCAAGTCACACTCCTCCCCAGGGCTCCTTTTGGGACCTCAGGTAAGTGACTTACCTGAACCTCAGTGACCTGCTTATCTGTAAAGCAGGAATAAGATGACCTGCTTTGTGCAGCACCCAGACCACGGCATGGCCGCTGGCTCTGACTTGGAGCATCCGTCTCCACCTCTTGCCTTCACTCTCCTGGTCTTTGGCACAGAAGAGCTGAATCTTCACCTCTGGTGCCCTAAGCATCTCCAGCACCCACTTTGTCATGAGATTTGTGTCTTCCGTGTTTGTCAAAAGGGGGAGGAGGTCAGGGGGAGAAAGGAGTCTTTATTGAGAGTCCTCATGTCTGAGCATGTATTTGTTCAGTCTGCCAAATAATTTCTGCACATCATCTCCCAACACTGAGGGCAGGACCACCATCCCCACTGTATGAAGCAAGGGACATGGGGTTGGAGAATGTGAGCGGCCAAGTATACACTGACAGAGACTGGAAACGCTGGGATTTGAAAGCACATCCAAATATGTCAGCAGTTTCGATAAGCACTACTTATCAACAAGTCAAGTAAGACAAATGCTAACATTGGATTTCTTTCAAATCCAGGCATATGTTCTTTAGAGGAAACATCTAAAACAAGAAGATGGGAAAGCTGAGGCTAAAGGGACAGAAAAGTATATACAAACAAGCATGAATCTGAAGAAAGACAATGGAGCTGTATTGACTTTAGACAAAATAGATGTTGACACAGAAAAGCATTATTAGGGTCATAGGATCACCATAGTTGTTTTTTTATTTTTTTTTGTTTATTATTTTTTGAAAGAGAGAGAATACAGGAGGTTCAGAGAGAGTGGGAGAGAGAATCCCAAGCAGGCTCCACACTATCAGCATGGAGTCCATTTCAGGGCTTGAACTCACAAACTGAGACCTGAATCAAAACCGAGAGTCAGACACTTAGCCAACTGAGCCACCCAGGCACTCCTATCACTATGTTGTTTTTTCTTTTTATTAAAAAAATAACTGCATTAGAAAGATGTGACAGTTTGAAACCAGGCAGCTCATGACATTCTTATGGAACAGATTAACACTGAGAAACTAGTAAGACCATACATGTAATTGGAAATGCCACCATGTTCTTTGTAATAATAACAGTTAAAAAAACTTTTAGTTTATTTTTTTGAGAGAGAGAGAGAGAGAGAGCATGTATGAGCAAACACCAGTGGAGGAGGGGCAAAGGGAAAGAAAGACAGTATCCCAAGCAGACTCCACACCACAAGCTCAGAGCCCAGTATGGGGGTCGAACTCCCAAATCGTGAGATCATGACCTGAGCTGACATCAAGAGTTGGATGCTTAACAGGCTGTGCCACCCAGTCACCCCAATGGAAAGAATTTTGGGGGCGCCTAGGTGCCTCAGTTGGTTAATTCTATACAAATCCTATGTCTCCCTCTCTCTCTGCCCCTCCCCTGCTCGTGCTCTTGTCTTTCACTGTCTGTCAATAATAAATGTTAAAAATTTTTTTTAAAAAAGAAAGAATTTTTGAAGAAATAATGACTGGAAACTTTACAAATTTATACCTTTCCTAAAGGTTGGGAAAGCTCAGTGACCCCAAACAGCATAATCTCAAAGAAACCCATGCCCAGACACATCACAATTGGACTGTTGAAAACTAAAACCAAATTTTTTTCTTTTTTTTAGTGTCTATCTGGGAGACAGACAGAGACAAATCATGATCAGGGGAGGGGCAGAGAGAGAGGGAGACACAGAATCCGGAGCAGGCTCCAAGCTGTCAGCACAGAGCTTGACATGGGGCTTGAACGCACAAACTGTGAGATCATGACCTGAGCCGAAGTTGGATATTTAACTAACTGAGTCACCCAGGCACCCCTGAAATTTAAAATATTAGAAAAGAATGTATGAAAAACTATGCATCATATAAAAATTGATGCAAAAGATTATGAGTTTCTTGTCAAAAATCATGAAAGCCAGAAGGCAGAGAAACAACATTTTTAAAGTGCTAGAAAAAAATAAAACTATCAATCAAAACTTCTATATTCAATGAAAATACACATCAAGAAGAAGAGCAAAATAACATTTTCAAATGAAGCAAAACTAAGACAGTCTGTTGCCAGCAGGCTAAACGGAGTTATTTTGATGGAATGGAAGTGATAGCAGAAGGAAAACTGAAACTTTGGTAATCAAGGAAGAGTAACACATTGAAAAGATTTGATCCTTAAAATACAAATAACTGGGGGCGCCTGGTTGGCTCAGTCAGTTAAGCCTCCAACTTGATTTCAGCTCAGGTCATGATCTCATGGTGCCTGATATCAAACCCCAAGTAGGGCTCTGTACTGATGGCATGGAGCCTGCTTGAGATTCACTCTCTCCCTCTCTTCCCCTCCCCTACTCTAAATAAATAAGTAAGTAAGTAAGTAAATAAATAATACATACATACATGCATTTAAAAATATTTTAAAAGATACACATATACGGTGGAGTACTACATGGCAATGAGAAAGAATGAAATCTGGCCATGTGTAGCAACATGGATGTACCTTGAGGGTGTTATGCTGAGCGAAATAAGTCAGGCAGAGAAGGACAAATACCATATGTTTGCACATATAGGAGGATTAGAAGGAACTTAATGGAGGACCGTGGGGGAGAAGAAAGAGGGAAATGGTGGGGAGAGGGAGAGAGGCAAACCATGAGAGACTCTTGAATGCTGAGAACAAACTGAGGACTGATGGGTTTGTGGGGGTGATGGGCATGGAGGAGGGCACTTGTGAGGATGAGCACTGGGTGTTATATGGAAACCAACTTAACAATAAACTATTTGTATAAAAATAATAAATAAAGATAATATTCACACAGGGTGAAAGAAAAAGATACACATGACTGTTGAAAACAAGATTTATAACATTGTCTGGTAGAGTTCAATGTATATTGATGTATATATGACTACAACATAGAGAGGAAAGTATCAAAATTCACTCAGTTATATATTTGAGATTTATATATTTTAATGCATAAGGTTATATGTCAAGAACCATTAGTGTACAATTTTTTTAATTTAAAGGGGAGGGTAAAGAGACTGATATACTGATAAGATTTCTACATTTCACTTTAAGTGGTAAATATTAATTCTATGTAGACTGTGAAGACTGGAGTATGCATATTGTAATCCCTGAGAGATTACACACACACACACAAACACACACACACTATATGAAGAGATAAAAGATAAACCCAATACATGAATTAAAATGGAGCTCTAGAAAATATTTTAGTAACCCAAAAGAAGGCAGGAAAAGGGAAACAGAGGGATGACAGAAAGAGCAAAGAGAAAAAAGAAAACAGTAGAACCAAACGCAAACATATCAATAATTATGTTGCATGTAAATGATCTAAACACACCAATTAAAATCCTCAGAATGAATTTTGTTTTCAAAATAAACCCACTTCAGGTTAAGTTTAAAAGGGTGGAATGTTGGGGCGCCTGGGTGGCTTAGTCCGTTAAGCTACTGACTTCAGCTCAGGTCATGATCACACTGTTCATGCGTTTGAGCCCCGCGTCGGGTTCTGTGCTGAGGGCTAGCTGGAGCCTGGAGCCTGTTTCAGATTCTGTGTCTCCCTTTCTCTCTGATCCTCCCCTGTTCACACACTCTCTCTCTCTCTCTCAGAAGTAAATAAAACATTAAAAAAAAAAAAAAAAGGTGGAGGGTAGGGGGTGCCTGAGTGGCACAGTTGGTTGAGCATCTGACTCGATCTCAGCTCAGGACATGATCTTGAAATTCCTGCGATTGAACCCCTCATCAGGCTCTGCGGTAATGCTGTGGAGCCTGCTTGGGATTCTGTCTCTACTTCTCTCTTACACTCCCCTCCTCATGATCTCTGTCTCTGTCTCTGTCTCTCTCTCTCTCTCTCTTTTGTTTTAAAAAAAAAATTTAATGTTTTTTATTTATTTCTGAGTGAGGGAGACAACATGAGCAAGGAGGGTCAGAGAGACAGGGAGACACAGAATCCGAAACAGGCTCCAGGCTCTGAGCTGGCTGTCAGCACAAAGCCTGATGCGGGGCTCGAACCCACGAACCATGAGATCACGACCTTAGCCAAAGCCGGACATTTAACCAACTGAGCCACCCAGGCACCCCTCTCTCTCTCTTTCTCAAAATAAATAAACTTAAAAAATTTTTTTAAAGGGAGGAGGGTGAAGGGGAGTGGGAAATGCAGTCTTTGGGTTATGAAATGAATAAGTCACAGGAATAAAAGGCACAACATAAGGAATATAGTCAATGACATTCCAAGACTGTGTGTGGTGATAATGACAGCTACATTTGTGGTGAGCGTACCAAAATGTATAAAAGTGTCAACTCACTATGTTTTACACCTGAAACTAAGGTAACATTGTATATCAACTATACTCAAAAAAATTAATTTAAAAACATAGAAGGGTGGAGAACTATATATAACAATGAATATTGAATGCTAGAGTGACCATATCAAAATCATGCCAAATAGACTTCAAGGAAAATTACCAGGCATAAAGAGGGACGTTACATAATGATATACAGTCAATTCACCAAGAAGACCTAATAATTCCAAATATGTATACAATATGTATGCATTTTAGGGCTTTGTTGCCTAGAACAAAGCCCCCAAATGCAGGAAGCAAAAACTGATAGAACTGAAAGAAAATAATAAATAAATTCATAATTATAGTTGGAAACTTCAACACCCTTCTTTCTAGAATCAATGGAACAAGTAGACAGGAAATCAGGATACAGAAGAATTGAACACCAACCAACTGGATATAACTGATGAAGTTGCCAATATTTAAATATTGCCCACTATTTTTTCTTGTTTTTTTTTTTAGATGTTTATTTATTTTTGAGAGAGAGAAGTAGCATGAAGGGAGGGGCAGAGAGAGAGGGAGACAGATAATTCAAAGCAGGCTCTGTGCTGACAGCAGAGAGCCCGGTATGGGGCTCGAACTCCCAAACTGAAATCATGACCTGAGCCGAAGTCAGCCATTTAACTGACTGAGCCACCCAGGTGCCCCTATTGCCAATCATTTTACGTACAAAGTATTTTCCTATTATTTAAACTGTGTTTAAGCCCAATAATAAACTGTTACTGGTGTTTACCCCCAAGAAATCAATGATCTATGTTTTCATCTGAAGAAAGTGAAAAAGAACAAATTAATTCAGAGGTAAGTAGGTAGAAGGAGGGAGGCCTGGGTGGTTCAGTAGGTTGAGCATCCGACTTCGGCTTATGCTGGAGACCCGCTCCAGCTGGTCCAGGGGTCCCTGAAGGATGGACGGTGTCGGTGAGAGAGCCCCGAGATTCTTTCTGATCACCAGGCAGGCATCTCTGCTCTGACTGGGGATCAACTTTATTTTATAATTAAGTGTTTGGGGAACGGCACAAAAGTGGCATTTGCCTTAGACAATGATTTCTGATGACAAATTTCTTTGATAAGTAAGAATTTCCCAGAACATAGATTGGTTACACATGAGAAGACTCATGCATAACCTTTATCAATAGTGATTGAGGTAGGTGATTTTGATGCTTATTTTATGGGGAAGGAAGGTATCTTTAGCATACAAGACAATGTTTTTAGCATAAAAAGGGTGAATTTTGTTCTTTGTGAGCAGGTGTCAATAGCTTGTTTGCTTAAGGAGAAGTATTAAGAAAAACAGGTCTTTTAGGAAACACAATATTTGCTCCCATAATCATAAAAGAAGTTCCTACAATAGGTTCCTTCACAGGGTGCAATCAGAATATTCAAGGCCAGAATAAGTCATTCCAAATATTGATCAACAAAGATCCCTCGGGGGTCGGTGCTCCAAGCAGTAACAATTGGGTGGGGGTGGATATCTGTCCTTAACTCTAAATTAGGCTCTTTGTCTGAGAGCCAGACTCAACCGTAACTCTTGTGTTCTTAACCCCCTTTAATATCTAAGTCTTGGATCTGCAAGGCCCATAGGAAGAGCCTTTTGACAATCATCCACTGTGCTTTTATCTAAAATCTCTTTGGAAAAGGCAGGAATATGCTTTTCCTTATGAGGAATCTGTGTGGGGAATATCGGTCTGATTTGGACATTTGTGAGGCCTGGTCAGTAGCAGCAGGCTCATTTCCAACATGGGCCAGTAGTAGCAGAAGGAGATACCAGTTTTCATTTCTCATGGCAGGAGCTGTGCAAACGCTGCCATTTCCTCACTGTGACGTCATCCAGTGAGGCCTGTGCGGCTCCCAGCAGACTTAGATCATCAGGCTTGCTGCTGTCAGTGCAAAGCCCACTTTAGATCCTCTAACCCCCCTCTCTCTGCCCCTCCCCTCTCATGCTGTCACTCTCTCTCAAAAAATTTTTTTAAAAAAGGAAGTAAATAGAAGGAAGGGAATAATAATGATACAAGTAGAGATCCCCAAAGTAGAAAAGAGACCATAGGAAAAAATGAACACATTCAAAAACTAATAATTACTTCTTTGAAAAGATTAATACAATTGATAACCCCCCCTAGCTAGACTGACAGAGGGGGGAAAGGCAGGAGACTGGACGACAATATCAGACATGAAAGAGGTCACATCACTACAGACACTGCAGGCATTAACAGAATCCATGAATATTGTGAACAACTCTATACCAGTAAATCAGACCACTTAAACGAGATAGGTAATTCCTTTAACACAATTTATCAAATATTAGTTGATAATGTTAATACACACCTGCTAGTATGCCAGGACCTTGAGTGCCGAGCTCTAGACAGAGGATGGGCAATAAAATGGTCCCAAGGGGTATTGGGTCAGGCAAAGGGCTGTAGATCTGAGGGGACTTGGGAAAGAACAGAGAGGGTACCACCCCTCCAACAGTTTCAAGTTCCAATGTGATAGACCTAGCCTGTGGCTAGGGACAGAGTCCAGCACCACCACCTGATGGCCACTGAGCCCAGAAGACAAAACTACTAAACACAATCTCTCTAGCAGCTTTCCAGTGTGGGGACCGCTTCTGTCAAGGTGGCGTTGAGTATTTCTGGAGACTCAAGCTGAAGAGCCTAAATAATGCCATTTTAAAATTGAGACCCCCCATTAAAAGCAACCTCGGGCTGCACATAGCAACAGTCTATAAAAAAAACAAAAACAAAAAACAAACCACCCTGCAGATTGTTCAAGGCTGAAACCCCTCCCCAATTAGCCAATGGGAGGAGGATAATAACATTCCTGCGGGCTGAGACAAGGGCTGCTCCCCCATGCCTAACTCACCTCATAATGGGTCATTTTCAAAGGAGTCTCAGAGGGCCATGATTGGGGCTCTGCCAAAAGTAACGGACACCTCACAGGTACTGAATGGTTGAAGCTGTTGCCAGGGTGTTATATAAATGTGATTGGTGTACAACATATGTACTGTAACACCCCCATCCCTTACCCCTTAAAAACCCTGCTCACTATTGTTCGGGGCTCCCCCCTGCTGCTGCTGCTGTGTCGGTAGGCGGGTGAGACCCTCCTCGAACTTGTAATAAAGACCCTTTTGTTCCTGCATCCGTATTGGCTTCTGAGGTCACTGGGGACTCGTGATTCGGGCACAACAAAGCTACCTACCCAGACCTGCTGGGGACAGGCAGAGGTGCCTGGGAAGTAGGAGGCAGCTTGATGGAAGAAAGCAAAACATGATCTTGAAAAATACGGACCCGGTGCCAATCCTTGGCCCCTTCTCCCTCAGGATCCAACCCGGAGCCCTTCCACCTTCAGGACACAAGATCCCTGCCCACTTCCCCATGTCCTGGGTTCCAGCCCCCGTCCCAGGATTATATTAGCAAGGACACCTTTTAAAGTCTCTCTTCACATTTATTGATTCCCAGGAGCAATGAGGGACAGTCCTCCACCACCCCCAGGGGGAGTCCAGCCTCCAGCCGCAGCATGAGGGGTCAGCGCCAGATGAGAGCAAGTACTTGCCAAGGAGCCCGAGTCTGCAGCTGGATCAGCCTCCTAGACAAATTTGACAGAAGAGAAATGGGAGGGGACGGAAGCATCAGGTATGCTCCTCCCTGGTGAAATCAGGGCAGACTTCACTGAGGCCTCGCAGGAAGGAAGTAGCCAGGTCAGCCGCCAGCCAAGAGCTCTCCCACCCCTCGGCCTCCCTCCCGGTGCTCAGGCTGACCAAACCACTCTGCTTCCGGGCCTTTCCTTGTTTTGCTTCCCTGCCTGGGATTTCCCTGCAACCAGAGTGGAGGAGGCACACACCTAACTTGCTGGGAGGAGGTGCAGGGAAGGGGCAGTCCTGGCACAGGGCGCAACCTGGGCAAAGGCCAGCAGGAGGAAGCAGCTCACAGAACCCACAGGCCAGAGGAACACGTCACCTGCAACCTGGAGCTCCACCGGCTCGCTCATCTCGGACACCAAGGCATCGGGCCCCCACCTGCGGTAGCGGCAGGTATAGTTGCCCGCGTGCTGGGGCCCCACGTAGGTCAGCACAAGGTCTGCTGAGCGGTGGGTGGTGAAGGTCTTGGTCAAAGCCTCGTTTTCGCCGGCCCTCAGCAGCTCGAACGTGACGTCCGGCACCTGGCCCTGGCAGTGCAGGACCGCATCGCGGCCCGGAGTCACCGCCCCGCTCCACAGGGGCCTGAGCTGGGGCCTGGGAGGGGGCCCTGGGAGGAGCAGGCGGCTCAGTCACGCGAGGCCCGCCCTCAGGCAGCAGCCGCCGCCTACCCTCCAACGCCCCCGACACCCACCGCGCACACCCGTCCCCTGCCTCCCTGCCTCCCCCTCCACCCAGGCCTCCGCCAGGCTGCTGCCCTGTTCTCACACGCCTGTCTTCCCTCTCCCCGTCCCGGGCACACACGGCTCCTCCTATCGTGCGCCGCGTCACCCCCTTCCCCAGGACACTGCACGGTCCCTAGACCCGGGCCTGATCCCGGGCTGCCCCGAGGTCTCCCAGCACTTGGCGCTCGGGACCCCAGGACGCGGGAGGCGGAGGAAGGACGCGCGCAGGGAACCGCGCTGCGGGCGGCGAGCGTGGGAAGTGAGCCAGATGCGAGGCGTGTGTGGGAGCCCCGCCGCCAGAGTCCCACGGGTGCGAAGCCCCGAGCGCTTCCCTTCCGCACCCTGCTCCGCCCGCGGGCCCGGGCCGCTCACCGTCCACGCGTAGCTCCAAGGGCGCGCTGGGCGCCGAGCCCGCGAAGGGGGGCGCAGTGTCCGCGTAGGCGCAGCTGTAGTTGGCCGAGTCCGCCACCGAGACGTCGCGCAGCTCAAAGCGGGCCTCGGTGCCCGCGGGGCTCAGGACACTGCGCACGTAGCGCTGGCCGTGGTCCTCGCGCATCAGGGCGAAGCGCAGGCCGGCCCGGGGCCCCAGGCACCGCAGCTGCACGGACGCGCCGGGCGCGGGCCGCAGAGCCTCGGGCTCCGCCGAGAGCTCCGGCGCCGGGAGCGTCTCTGCGGGGAGGACGCGGGCTGACCCGGGCGCCGAGGGGCTTGACCCGCCGGCGCCGCCCTCGGCTTACCGCCGCCTCTCGCTCCCGACACCCCCGCGTCCCGCGCGCGCGCTCCTACACTGTTCCTTACTCATTTGTCTGTCCATAAACACAGACGTGGGGAAGGGGAGCTCAGGGAGCGCCGTCCCAGGAGCACGCGCGCTCCGCCTCCAGCCTGAACCCTCTCTCGGGGTCGACGCTCTGGGTGCGGGTTCGGCAGCCCCTGCGGCCCCCGCCTGCCGGCCTTCAACAAGCAGGGCTCCAGGGCCCCGAGCGCCTGCCCCGGAGCCGGGAGGCAGGAGGGCACCCCGGGGAGGCGGCGCCTGCGTGCCCCGTGCGGGACTTGCATGTCGACCCTGTTATTCTTCGTGGGGTCCCTGGGTGGCCCAGTTCATCGTCCTATCGTCAGCTGGCGAAACTGAGGACGGGCGGAGGAGTCCGGCTCGGGCCCCAGCCAGAGCCCTCAGTGCCGCGGGGCCCTTCCCCGGGTCTCCCCTCCCGCTCCCCGTCCCCGGAGGGGGGCGCCGTCGCCCTCTCGCCCCCAGGCGCAGCGGCGGGCCCGCGGCCGCCAGGCTTACCGTCGCTGAGCAGCATCTCGACGGGCTCACTGTCCGCGGACCAGGTTTGCTGGCCACGCAGCTGATAGCGGCAGGTGTAGAAGCCACCGTCGCCCAGAGCCACCGCCTTCATTTCAAAAAAGCTGCTGTCTGAGCTGACGGCGATCCTGGGTACTTCAAGCACCTCCTCGCCCCGCCTCAGCTGGTAGTGCACGCCGCGTAGGGGCGCCATGCAGATGAACGTCGGGGGGGAATCCGGGTGTATCATGGCTACCGAGCCTCCCCTGAGACTCAGCCTGGGCGGCAACGGTGCGCCTGCAAGAAAGGGAGTCGCTGGGGCGGCGTCACCTGCTCCCGCGGATCTCTGCCCTCCGGGTGGGGGCCCGACACCACCCTCCCTCATGTACCGTCCCCAGGCCCTGCGCCGCCTGGAGGTGTCAGTGTGGAGCCGGGTATGATCCCCCCAACCGTGGGACCCCTGTTTCCCAGACCCAGTCCTGGGCAAGGGGATGCAGGGTTGCAGCTCAAGGTCAACAAAGCTCTGGCCTCCAGAAGCTTCCTAGCCCAGCAAGGCCTCTGCGACGGCGGACACACGCACCGGGCTCCTTGACGGTCACAGGAGCGCTGGGCTCAGAGGCTGCACCCGCTGCGTGGGTCCGGTAGCTGCAGCTGTAGCTGCCAGGCCGATGCACCGGGAAGGCGGCCTCCACGTGGGTAGGGGCCTCAGCCACCTCCAGAAACTCGTCATCGCCTTCCAGCCTCAGCAGGAAGGTCACACCCCGAAATGCCCCTTGGCACAGCAGTTTCGTCTCCAGGCCGGGTGTGATCCAGGACACAGGCGTGGCCGAGAGCCGAGGAGGGGGCAGGCTCTCTGCAGGGGGAGCAGGGGCAGTGGGCGCTTCTGCGGGACTTGGGGGACAGGGGTGGCCCAGCCAGACCTGGCCCTCCACGCTCACGTGAGTGGAACCAGGGAGATGGGAGGCATTGCTGGAGGGGACGGGGGGGGGGTACGAAACAGCAACAAATCTGTTACGGGAAGTGTGCTGGGCTTGTCCCAAGCGCTGTCTGAGGACTCACTCACTCATTCCTCACAAGCTTCTGGGGTCAGTGGGAACATCCTCCTCACGTTACAGATGAGGAAACAGGGTCAGAGATGTCAGGTGACATGCCAGTCCCCCCCATGCCAGAAAAGTGGGGCCAGGAGAGCGAGGAGTGGAGGGCTGAGGCCTCCCCAGCAGCCCCGTCCCCACTGCCTCACTGCCCCGTGCAAGTCCCTGCTCACCTGTGCCAGTCACCTCCAGGAGGTTGCTCAGCTCTGTCCATCCACTGTGCAAGCCAGAGCGGCAGCGGTAGAGGCCCCGGGTGTCATTTGTCACTGCTCCTACGGGGAACCGGTGCTCCATGGCAGGGAAGCCAAGGTGCACAAGTTCCTGGGTTACCCCATCCTTGAAGAGCTCAAAGTCTGTGGTCCCCAATCGGGCCTGGCACGTCAGTGTCACATTGGCCCAGGGTTCCAGCAGCGATGTGGCCTCTATCCACAGGTTCGGCCGGGTCTCTATTACTGCACCGGGTGGGGGTGGGGGGTTGGTGAGTGCTGGGTCCCAGGACAGAGGCTCCGCTCTGCCTGTGCCCGCCATCCCCAGGACCCGACCCAGACTCACCTGGACTTGCCTTGGTCTCTGGGGCCAGAGAGAGACCTGCAGAGACCAAACCTGTGAGGCCCCAATTCCTATCCCTCCCACTCCTTCCCGCCCCAAGTCCCCAGCCACCTCACCCCAGAGCATCAGGAAGACCCCAAGCAAGGACATGATGGCCACCAGTCGCTCTAGCCAGTGAGTGTCTGGGGTGATAAAGCCCAGCAAGGGGGTGGCGGCAAAGGACATTGACCCTATTGTTTGTTGTCCTTCCCAGAGGACCAGAGGATGGGGGGAGGGGGACCTGCAAGTGGTGGGGACAAAGGGCAAAAGTCCAGAGCCTTGGGAGCCTCATCAATAAGGATAATCAATAATTATGCATAATTTATAAACTAAGTAATAAATAATAAAAATGATTATTTAATATATATAATAAAATAGCACACTATAACAAATAAAATTAATAAATGAAATTACTTAAATGAAAATATGAGAAATATAATTTTAAAATAAAAATTAAATTAAAACAAATAATGTAATATGTAATAAATGATAAAGGATAATTTCAACTTTTAGTGTTTGCAGGCCCTGCTCCAGGGCTCCCAGGGAAGCTATCTTGAACATTTATCAAGATCAAAATGACTCCACAAAACCTCAAAGCATGGACTCTTTTTCTGTCCTGAGCACACACTGTGGTCTGCTTCATTAAAACAAAACAAACAAAAAACAGTTAAACAACAAGACAAAAAGGAGCATCCAAACACAAAGATAAGAAAGAAAAAAGACAAACCATCCCTGGGTCCCATGATTAAAGTCATATGGCCTGGGTCTCGCACATACTAAAAACATAAAATAACGTCTGTAACTTTCTGGAATGTCTTTCATCGTGATGATTTGTAACTGTTTATGTAAAAGACATATGTAACCAATGTTCCTTCCCTGGAGCACACTCTTCTTTGTGAAGACCAGGTACCTTGGGCACCAACTTGGGCTTGCATAAAATTATTTTCCTTTCTCTTGAAAAAATATTTTTGGGGTGCCTGGGTGGCTCAGTCAGTTAAGTGTCCAACTTCTGCTTGGGTCATGATCTCGCAGTTCACGGTTTTGAGCCCCACCTAAGGCTCTGCGCTGACAGCTCAGAGCCTGGAGCCTACTTCAGATTCTGTGTCTCCCTCTCTCTCTGCCGCTCTGCTATTCTCTCTCTCTCTCTCAAAAATTAAAAAAAAAAAAACATTAAAAAATTTTTTAATTTTGTTCATTTTGCATCGACATAATATGTAAATGAATAAATAAAATTAAAAGTAAAATAAATAGAATGGTATAAAAAAGTTACTAATAAGTAAAACAAGGTAAAAGCAATAAAATTAATAATTTATAATAAAACAATAAGTGATAAATAAAATAAAACTAAATAATAAAAACTGAGGTGCCTATTACCGTGTGGTTCTCAGGGTTCTGTGCGCCCTGGGACAGTACTGGGCAGTAGTGGGATAACTATCACCCTGTGTTAGATGTGCGGAAAAGGAGGCCAGGCGGGGGCCTGTCCTGCTTACTTCCTGTCTGCACAGTCCCTCATCTCGAAAAAGCTGAAGGCTGCAGGGACCCTATTCTCTGCAGGGATGCAGAGCTCTGCCCTACGGGGCCCAGCCTGGCCCCTCCTCCTCACACCCCTCCTCAGGCTTGAGGATCCTGGTGGAGTCTGGCTATCGCTGGATAATCTTTTTTTTTTTTTTTTTTTTTTGAGAGAGAGATGGCACAAGTGAGTGAGGGTAGAGAGACAGAATTGGGGCTCACCTGAACCAGGGCCTGTGTTTACTCTAGGTGGGCTCAAGCTCACCAGAGGCAGGGCTTGAACTCAAGAACTGTGAGATCATGACCTAAGGTGCAGTCAGATGCTTAATCAACTGAGCCACCCAGGTGCCCCTGTGTCTGGATATTCTATGGTTGAGGTTATGTGGCCTCCTGGAGGTGCATCTGGCTTTTTCTGGGAGCTGTTAGTTGGTTCTCCTTCATTGAGTAATGTGTGATTCATTGATGTGTGATCCACTATGGATTTGGAGTCCCATCTGCAACAAGGACCTTGGGTTCAAATTGGTGCTTCTGCCCACCTCCCAACTCCAAAGCCTGTGCTCAGGCTGTGGACAGTTGTCCAAGCCACCTGTGGTCACTGGTGTGGCTGTAGCCCACTGTCCAGAGGCCAGGCCTCCCCCTCTTTCTGTGGCCTCCCCTTCTATCTCCTCAAGGCTTCCCCTTCTTTCTATCTCCCCATGGCCTCCATTTCTCTCTCTCTCCCCATGGCCTCCCCTTCTCCCTATCTCTTTATCAGCTCCTCTTCTCTGTAGGCACAGCCTGATGGGATAGGACGGGAGGGTAAGAACGGGGTCCTCTCACACTGGGCCTCTGAGGAGTCCTGCCATCCCTGGAGATGTAGTCTGCGCCCTGAATTCCCAGCCCAGGCTCTCTCACTAGGTTGCAGGCCCATGGAAGCCTCCTTGCTCTCACATTGCGCCTAACCTGGCTCCTTCTGCTCCTGTTCATTCCATAAGCATTTATTGAGCATCTCCCGTATGCCACACACAGAGAAGACAGTGGGAGAACATTGGCCCACGCTCTGCCCGCACGAAGCCCAGGCTGGCCAGGGAGATGGAGAATGCAGAGGGTAGTTGCTGGGAAGAACCTGAACCTCAAGGATGTGGTGGAAAGTGGGGGGCGGAGGGGCCATGTGACATTGGAGGGTCAGGGAAGGCTTCCTGGGGAGCAGAGATCTGAACAAGGCCAGAAAGTTGAGTCCTGCAGGTAACTGGGGGAGGAGTGTTCTGGACAGAGGGAACTGCCAGTGTAAAGGCTGTGAGGCAGGATGAGCCATGAAGCCACGTGGCAACCGCAGGAGCTGGGCAGGCAAAGCGCAGAGGGCTAGCGGGGTAGCTCAGAGCCCTCATGAAGCCCAGCCATGTGGGGCTGTGGGAAAGAAGTTTAAGAATTCTCTACGCCTACACCAGTGGGTTAACAAAGCACAGAGCCTCTGCAGGGTGAAAGCACCCAAGCCTAGTCACTAAGCAGAACACAGCATAGAGCTGAAAACCCCTGGACAGGATGAAAGTGTCTGAGAACAACTAATGATATATAGGTCCTAATGGAATCCCGAGCAACTTACCATTTCCAGGAGAGCATACTCCATTTACCTTAGTCCTTAGAAAAGTTAGATAACAGACACGGTGTCTGCAGGAAATGGTCGTCTGCTTGACATCCAGATGTTGACTTGTCTTTACCCTAAGCTCTAACACCACCTACCCACAAAAACCTTTTTTATCTAACACATGATTTAATGATTACTGTTTTGTTTCTTTCTGCACGTCTGCCATATGTAAGCCTTCTTATCCTAATAAATAAGAAGAAAGGACCTTTACTTAGGGCTCCTGTCTCCCCATAGACAGGAGCCTCTCTTGTATTCATTTCTGCATCCCCTCTCTTGCTGGACAAGGGAGAACCCCAGATTCGTACTCTGCGGCCCTGGGCCTGGTGGCCAGTGCGTGGTCTTTGGCTTCTGCTGAGTAGGCGGGGGAGCAGTGAGACACCCCTTGTCTGGTTTCCCTTCCACATTTGCTGAGCAGCCGCTGAACGCTCCCTGCCCGGGTTCCAACCCCAGACTTCGAAGAGGCTGCATGTTCCAGCTGGGGCGGGTGGGGGAGGCTTTCCATGCAGAAGGCCAAGGGTCATTCTGGTCGTGCCAAGGCCGGAAGGTGTTGCCGGGACTCTGGCACCCAGACGAGGGCCTGCAGTCAGATAGAGCAGCAGAGCAGAAGCCACCAAACCCTGGCTCTAGTCCACTGGCCACAGGGCTGCGCAAAGGCAGGCAGGAGCATGATCCGGTCAGAGGTCAGAGGTCTGTAGATGAAGCTGGCAGCCTGTGACGGGGAATCCTGCGAGTTTCTTCTGTTACTCCTGACTTCACCTGGCTACACCTGCCTGTTGGCTCCAGGACACTGAAGTCACCGCTGCTTCCCTTGGGTTTCTCCAGCCCTCTCTGTGGTAGCAGCTGCCTGCCAGTATGAATCTCTGCGTGTGTGCAACATCCTGCCTTTGCTCTCTGAGCTTTGCAAAACCTGCACAGTCAAGTCCCTGACTTCATGCCCTCTGTTTGAAACATCCAGTGTGGTTTCTGTTTCCTGTCTGGACCCCTGGGTCCAGACGTGAAGCCTCCCAACAGGTGGAGGAGTCCCTGCAAAGGGCTGGATATGGCACCACAGTCTCAGCAACCCTTGTGACTAGATGCTGCTACGCTGGCAGACAGCCAGCTCGTCAGCTGGGAGTCCTCTGGCCAATCCGGGTCCTCCCTAGGGCTCCACTCCAAGCCGGGAAGGGGGCCCCACGCACCCCCTCTCCCTGCTTCTCTCAGGAGCCTATGCTGGAGGCTGCCTCCCAGCAAGGAGCCCCAGGAGCAGGAGGAAGCACAGCACCCCCAGTGGCAGCCAAGGGCAGAAAGAGGCTCCCCAAAATGGAGGTGGAGGTGGCAAGCCTGACAAGCACGCAGACTCCAGGGGAGACTGCAGCGTCCACAGCCGGGCAGGTCAGGCTGATCCTGGCGTGTGAAGACCAGGTGGAGGTGGCCAGGCCAGAGAAGGGTGTCAGTCCTGGCTGGAAACGAGGACCGCCCCTGCCCCTGCGCTTTGTGGGTGCTCTGCTCCCACCCCACCCCACCCGCCTCCCACTGAGCCCAGAAACCCTAGCGCCCAGCATGGCCAGGCTGCCTTCTTCTCGCACTTCCCTTCCCTTCCCTTCCCGACGCCTTCCTGCTGGCCACCACTCCGCCTCTCACCCAGCTTGTATTCCCCTGCTCTGCCTTCTAGAATCCCATCAGTCAGGCAGGAACTGGGTGGGAGACCTGCTCCCTCGGGAAGGCCGGTGGGGGGGGCTGTACCGCCCCTGGGTATGGGGCCTGATACTGGGTCCATGACAAGCCAGAAGTGGCTCCAGCTGCTCAGGTCTATTATTGAAACTGGACTTCTGGCCTTTACTGTGGAGAGAACAGGAGCAAGTGGTAGGGGTGTGTGGGGGCGGGGGGGGTAGCAGCTGAGAGCAGAGGGCAGTGCCCCCACCCCCACTCTTCCCTTCACCTTAGGCTTCCAGCTGCTCACCAGGGTCCCCAGCGCAAGGCCTCTGACCTTCCCGCCCGTGGCTTTAAGAGAAAAACTGCTGTGCAACTTCGGATCCAGCTGTGGGGAGGGGACTCAGGGAAGGGGGCTCCTGGGCGGCGGACTGGGCCCTGGGTCTCAGTCCCACAGGGATCTGAGACAAGACCACCGCGCCTGTGGGAGCCTCCGACTCTCGCGGCCTCTACACACACACACACACACACACACACAGACACACACACCCCGGCACCGAAATCCACCAACGGCACCCTGGGAACCACCTCCGGCCACCGCGTGCGGCCAGGCCCTGCAGGCCACCTGTGAAACTGCCATCGTCGTAGGGGCGGTTTCAAAAGCCTGGCCTTCTGCCCGCATCGCGGCTGCCCCTGCGCTCCGGCACACGCGGCGCACGATGGCGGGCTCGCGGACGGCGCTCTTGCGCACGCTGTCCACGCGGGGCCGCGGCCTGTGCGTCGCGCGCGGCCGAGCTGCCCCAGCCTCGCAGTCCGGCGGGGGCGTCCCAGCGTCCGGGCGGGGAGGCGCCCGCGGGCCGCTCCCGGGGCTCGTCGAGGCTGGAGCGGTGGCCGAAGGGCCCAGCGCACACGCGGCGCACGGGAGGGCCGGCGGCTCACGAGCACCGAGGCGCGCACGAAGGCCCCTCCCCGGAGTGCGCGCGCCGGCGCTGCCGCCGCTCCGAGCCGTCCCGGGAGCCTCCGCCGCCGGCCGCGGGGCGAGGGGCCTGGCGCCTGAGCGGACGCGCGCGGCGACGAGCGGGTGGGAGCGCTGGCCCTCCGCCTGGCCGCACGGGGCGCGCGCGCGGGGCCTCTTGGCACATTATCCTTACTATCCATTTGAGTACCTTGGTTATCATGCTGTATTGTAGTTTTGCAAAATGCTACCATTGGACAAAACTAGGTAAAGGCTACACAGGATCTCTGTATTATTTCTTACAGATGTGAATTTCTAATTATCTCAAAAAAAGTGTTATTTTTTAAGCCATCAGAATTTTTTTTTCAATCGGTATTTGTTTCTTGAAGGACCAGAAGACTTCGCTTCCGGAGCTCCACGTTTCTGAGGATAGAGCCTGGCTGGCATATCCCTCCAGCCAGGACCTATGCTTCAGAGCTGCCCAGCCCTCCGTCCCCTCTAACTGGGCCTCCCTGCCTGGGAGTTTGCCCATTTTGGGATAGTATCCAAATCCCTGAAGGTCGCTCCAGATTGTCTTCACTGCTCGCGTCTCCCACCGTCCTCACACTCAGCCTCTGTGCTCTTTTTCTGCCTGAAAGCCTTGTCCTCCACCTTTCCCCCCAGAATGCCTAATCACCAGGTCTGTGGCCACCTCCCCAGTCAGATCGCATCTCCCGCGCGACAATGGGCTCTCATCCAACGGGTCACAAATGACTATTTGTGTCTCCCCCGCCAAACCCCAAGGCCTGGGCTCTCGCCTATTGGGGAGTGGATGAAAAAATACGAAGTGGGGGGAGAGGGACGCTGAGCAGAAGTCCAACGGGGTTTTGGTCTCAGGAAGCGCTGGGCCCGAATCCCAGCGGGCGAGTGAGAGTGGAGGTGAGATGCTGGCGCAGGGAAGACACACGCAGAGGCTGGCAAGCGGGAACCAGGAATGCGGGGAGGAGGTTTGAGTGAGTGAGTGAATGAATGAATGAATGAATGAACGTTGTTACGAATGTTGGCGGGCCCTAGGGAATGAAGCGCTGAACTGGAGGGCAGGAGTAATGAATGAATGAGTGAATAGACCGACAAAAGCATCAGGAGACGCCGGACAGCGCGGTTCAGCTCACAAGGGCGGAACCGGAAAGCGGGCGGGGCAGGAGGGTGAAAGAAACGAGTGAATGAATGAACGGGCGGGAGGCAGGGACGCTACGCAAGTAAACGACCTAAGTGGCTCTCGGAAGAGCGAGCAGCGCCCACCAGCTCCCTGGCGAGCACACCCCCACCCCGACCGCACTGGGCCGGCCCACTCACGGGCGGCTCTGGGCAACGGGAAGGCCTCTCCCTCAGTGGTCCCAGGCTGTGGGGGCCGAGGGCGCGGCTGACCGCACGTCCCAGCTGGAATCGTTTTTTCTGAGTACAAGCCTCTCACTTGCCCCCCGCTCTCAATTTGGGTTTGGGCGAATGTTTGGGTTGGGTGCATGACTCGGGTAGACAGGATCCAATTCTCCTCGCCCCTCAGGATTGACTCAGGATCCACAGATGACCCACTTGGACCTACGGGTGTCACGGGGCAGGGAATCTGTCCTGAACCATGAGGGGTTGCGTTTCCTGTGGAACTTTAGACCCTGAGCACCTGCCGGCGGGTACAGGTGCAGCCTTCTCGTCCGGGAAGGGAGAGCCTGTCAGAGAATGGAGCCCACACAGAAAAGCAGAAACGAAGGACAGTGTATTGGTTTCCTGTGGCTGCTGTAACATATCAGCACATTACTCTCCCTACAGCAGTGGCTTTTTCTGAGCTCTTCATAAGGTTTACCGGGAAAACACAGTATGTGCATCAAGATGCCATTCAGGTTAAACAAAACTATGAATGTTAACCTGGAATCTCAAACTACACACACGCAGCTCAGAACACTCCCATCTGGGGCGCCTGGGTGGCTTAGTCGGTTAACCGTCCGACTTTCGCTTAGGTCATGATCTCGCGGTTCGTGGGTTCGAGCCCCGCGTCGGGCTCTGTGCTGACTGCCAGCTCAGAGCCTGGAGCCTGTTTCAGTC